ATATGCCCAAATACGCATCATAAGGGACCTATGTGCTTCCTAAGTTGCCAAGTATTAATTATTGTTAGATTATTGGTCTAAAACATTCAATACAACCAGTAAAAATTAGCTGTCCTCTACGAGATTCGAACCCCCGCTCCCACAAAAAGTGACACTCTCCCAGAATCAGAACGGCGTTGTAGTTGACTGAGCTATCTCACGGCTCGGAAATAGGAGGAGAAAAAGAGAACAGTTAAGTGATCTCGGACGCTGAGCGGGGCTTCACAAAAGACGTCCTTGAGATTTCAACGGTTCGGCCACTGGCGTGATAAGAGACAAATGGATCAAGCGCATTACTCTGTGAGACATTGTTTACCTATGCGGTCATGTGTCATAAGGTTCATCTCATTATGCATTTGCGATCGCGGCAGTAAGCTGAGGTAATATTTCTGTATTCATGGATTAAATCCATCAATCGAGTTCTGATTTTGGCTCATATATACGTAACGGGTCCTCCAGAGCAATTTTCCACCTTGTACGATGGTTATTATTTCTTTACATCTATGTTTAAAATTTGAGGTGGGATAATGGTGGCTTCTCAAGAGCAACGAGGTAGGCGATCTTTTGCACCAACGAACAGAAAACTGATGGCGAAAAATAGCCAATGAAAACCTCCCAAAAAAAAGAATTTGCCTAAAAACGGAACTTCGTGGTTCTGCGCAGATTTACCAGTCAGAAACGACATCTCAAGGTAAAAAAAAACTCGCTGAAAGCGAATTTTAGCAATCAACACAACTTGACGTAGAGACATGATTGGCTAAAAAATACAACGGTTTTTGATACATCGGAAAATCAACCAAAAATCGGAGACTGGGCGAAACGCTCAAGGTCGCAGAGGTATAGGGAATCCCATTGCGAAAGCAACGGAACGATTGTAATATCATGGGGAACTCCGTTCCCATGACAAAACTCAGTTCTGAGTTATTCACACGCGAGCACATACGAGTGCCCTACAGACATTTACTGTCAAAAAGTCCAAATATGCCAAACCGAACCAGTGTTATGGCTGTTTATGCTGTCCCATTCAAAACTAATCTTTCCTAGAACGAACTTTTTAAAATGTTGTTAAGTCATGTTCAGTCCTCAAATGAATCAGTGAGAACGAAAACACACCAACCCGAAAAAATTAAAATAATCAAGACACACACAAAACTACATTTTAGGTGAAGAAGTTAGTCTAAGAAAAAGATTTTTGATGCCTACAATCAAGTACTTAAGGAAACTTTAAATGTCCAAGTTGGAACAGTTACGGTAACTCAATGACCTGTATGAAAATTGTCTGTCCTTAGTGAAAAGCCAGCATTTTCGAGTTACCGAGTTGGTGTGTTTTCGTTCTCACTGATTCAAATTTCAAGGTTTATAATGTGTCTTTACACCCGGAATTGACACAAAAATGAACAAAACATGTGTTGCTCCGTATATACGAAAGAGGAATTCTATTAAATTTCAATATACATTTTTACCCCAACGCAAGAAAAAGGCGCGTTAAAAATGTTGTCTCCACGTATAGAAGAGAGGCCCTTTCTTTTTAGACGGTTACATTCATCTACATATGTTTTGCTTCTATAATGTTTCCAGGCGCTTTGCGCGACCCAAAACGCTCCTTAATTTGTCATGTCGAGCGGCGCGGCGCGGCGGCCGGCCGGTCAGAAGGCAACGCGCATTAGCGCCTACAAACCTAACTGTGATACTTCAAGCATTGCGCAATGCGTGAAGTATCCCCTTAGGTTTGTAGGCGCCGCGCCAGTGCGCGTCTCGCGCTAGTAGCACGCCGGCGCCCTGGCTATTTTAACGGTGACGTTTGAATGCAACTATTCGTACTCAAGGGATGTCTAAGTTGCATACCCACAAAATTGCAGGCACCCTGGTTTTTCTAAAAGCCACACACGTTCCCGCCGTCCAAAAGGCGGCAATCAGTCAACCGAGACGGTAAACCTCTTCGTCAACGCCATGCCCGCATCCAATCAAGGGAGGTCATTGTCACCTAAATGTAAGGAAAAGCTACCACCAGACGGTCACATACAAATTTGAACAATTTTGTCATCTATTTTTGGGTTTACATCTTCTTGACTGGCGATGCGGAAATACGGACTCCGGGGGCACCTAGAGTACTTATATAGCGAGATTATGGACAGATCGCTTCATGGAAGGTGTAGGGCCCAAAAAAGCAGCCATTTTTCTAACCAACTTCTAACACATAAAATTTCACTGCTAGTCTGCAGATTCTGCAAATTTCAATTCTAACCAAAATGGGCAAGAATGTACATAAATGAACGTTCTTCCGCAAAAATGAGTAAATTTATGCAAAAACTAAGTCGAATACGTGCTCGACAGGTCCTAACAATTGTATTAGTAAATCGCTCTGGATAATTGAAGTTACAAGATAGTTGAAGGATAGTTACAAGATAGCTGGATAGTTGAAGTTGGCTGCATTTCTTGGCCCTAACTTTGTTTGCGGACGCATCGGTGAAGGCCTGATGGATTTTCGGAGTTTCACATCTGTCTATGCTCTCGCTATATAAGTACTCTAGGGGCACCCATGACTCCACTAACTCCCGTGTGTGCCCATTTCTACGAGTCAAGGCCGGTTGANGGGGGGGGGGGGGGGGCTCCGTGAATCCGGATGATGCAAAGTCATGAGTGAAATAACTGAGCGCGCGGACACGAATGATCGCCGTCGAAAGGAACTCGGATCACGATATGAAATGATACGCGTGGAATCAAATTTTGATGAGCAAGATCTGGCAACGTTGGAAGCTAGTCCCGAGACGTAATGGACGTGTGTGATTGTGACGTGAATCGAAATAACCTCCGAAATCAACGCTGCCGTTTTTGGCTAGGGATCGGGCACTTCTTCCACGGGACACTTGAGTAGACACTCCATTTTGCAATGGTGGAAAACTTTTAATTCGCCTAAAATTCAACATCGTCGTATTAACAGGCAACCCCGTCTCCACCTTCTAGGGTTGGCTATTGAGCATTGTGTCAAAAAAGTGACCAATATTTGTCTTTACTGTCAGATAAACGACTGAACTTGTTTCTGAGCTGCCAAAGAAAGAGGTTCCTTTCGGTTGATTGATGGAGCGCCAGTGGTACTCCATTGTACTCCGTCGATGGTTCAACTTCAAGTCTGGTAAATACCCACGGCATTTAGTCGTCAGGACTAAATTTTGCAATCAGAAACTACAATTTCTGCCTCATCTGTGAAAATACGTACGTGCATATGAGAACAACAGGGTACATACGATGTTTCTGAACTGTGCTGGACATTGTAGCTCCTAATTGGACTGCATTTTGCAATTTGGAGCTATAAATTCTGACTCATCCGTAAAAACGCTTATGTGCACAGGGAAACTAATGGCACATACGTTGTTTTTAAACCGGGCCAGAATTTATAGTTCCAAATTGTTTGTAGTTTTTCCAGAGAGCATACGTGGCCAGATAATCCAGTAGTACCTATTAGGTTTTTTTCCACGTGGTATATGCGTGTCTTCTCTAAAGCCCTCCCTTTCGCATGTCCACGTCCAAAATATGGTACACCTATCCACTCATCGTAAGATATCTCCAACTTGTACGTGGCCGTGCAAAAAACGTTGCAGTCGCGATGTGACCTCAGCGTGACGTGGCGCCTCGTCACGACGCGACGTCACGACCCGACGCGGCGGCGGCGGCGGCGGCGCACACTGGATCGAGTCAATCTGAGAGGTCGGACACGAAATGTTTGACCGAAATCGCAAATTTTGATGTTAAATTCGTCACAATTTAAATTTTAAGATGTGCTTTCAGAAGAAATTTTTACGAGGAAACCAATGAAACCACTTTCAAACCCTCAAAGTGTTATTTAAACGGAGTAATAAGCGTTTAAAGTTTCCAAATTTTTTCCGACCTCTCCCACAGATTCGATCCATTGTGCGGCGGTGCGTCTCGTCTGATTTCGGTTCGGGTTAATTGGGGAGCCCCATCCATCCTCGGCAAAGGACACGCGAAAGGTCAAGTTTAGTCGCCATCAACGCACGCGTCTAGTGAAAGGGGAACGTAAACAAAAAATGGCGGTTGCCTAGGATGGAATCAGGTGCGATCTCTCTTCCGTAAATAACGATGCAGGAACGCTTATTATTCCGGCGTTATCTGACTGCTTTGCGGTGCGCCCCTGCCCCCCGTGCCACCCGGAAACGACGGAGGCTGATTTGCGCTTTAATTTGACTACGATTTGATAAAAGATTAAATGGAAAAGAGATGGATTAAATTTAGCAGACGTGAGCTAAGTTTTTTTTTTGCCAACAAGGGGTGTGCTCGTAAAGTGTCAACCGAGTCAATTAAATACTGTGCACTTGGAAACTTTTTCAGGATTGAGTTGGTTAGCCTCTTTGTATTTCGATAGAAAGTTGGTAACGCAGCAAACGTGCATTAAAATTGAACATAGCTAAAAATCTAAATACAGAGGGGAAAAGCTCATAACAGCACAATTTTCCCTCATAGAGATGTACTGTTTGGTGCAACTTTAGTTACGTGTACGACTTGTTTTGTATTTAGGAGAGAGGAACTATAAGTTTTGATAATTTTAAGACAAAAAATTTGATTTTTGCAAACAATTCGGCTATTTTGGTAAAAAATTAACCAAAATGGTGTTTGCAGTTTATTTAAATCAAAATTTTTTTGACAAAAACTTTCATTTTGAGAAATTAGAAAGGAGTTCTACAACAAGCAGGCCCATTGTTTTCCAAAAATGTTGCTTCCTCCCGCCAAGCCCGATTCCAAATAATCTAAGTAAGTAATCTCATAATCTTCAAGCACAATCGAAAACCATAATCATGCACTGCGAGAGAAGAATGATTCAATGCATTTAAGGAATCAACCATACTTTTCATCATTCGCTCATGGTTTGTTCGTGATTAAATCCTCTAAAAAAATTACAAAATTTTCGTGAGTATTAATATCGATTGTTATTCTTTTTGTTGCAGCAAATCACACTAAAATCTGGCGGTCAAGTGTTCGAAATGTGGAGGAAGCCTCCAGTGCACCCTGTAATGAAAGTGTACATTTACAACGTCACGAATGCCGACGAATTCCTTAACGACGGCCAGAAGCCAGTGCTCGAGGAGCTTGGACCTTTTGTCTACGTGTAAGTCTTCATTTTAGTTTTCTATTTTTAAATGGACCACCGAAATCGATTCGCCTTCAATTGATCGTGTAGGCAAAATACCCTCCTACAAGTTCAAATAGTTGCATGCTCGCGAACTAATTGAACTTATAACTCGATTAATAGGTTTAAATCGAAATCATTGTTTCCTTATTATTTCGGAGTGTTGAAACTATCAATCGTCCCTGTTGGTTAAAACTTACACAATCGATGAGCAAATATCAGAAGGAATTGACATTTGCCATGAGCATTTTTTAAAATGAAATTTTTTTACGGCGACATTTTTTTTTCTCTCTTGCAATACTTATGTAGATATATATTTACGTTTTGTATACTGCAATGCAAACTTGAGGAGTGTCTCAAAAGTGATGATATAAACAAATTCTTTTCCACGAAAAGAGAAAATAAGTTGTGAATAACTCATCATAGCAATGAAACTTTTGAACAAAATGAGGATCAAATATTGAAATTGACTGCTTGGATCAAAATACAATTTTTACATTTTTGCGATGAATGAAACAATATAATTTTCATCCGCTAAAAAAAGCCTCTGCATGCGAGTTGTATCTCTTTGTGGTAGGAATCAGTTCCAGAGGCATTAGACGACGGTTCTAGTCATGTATGGTTTGGTATACCATTTCGTTCCGGCAACCAAGCAGTTGTGTCACTGCAAGTACAATTTTAGAGACTGTAACTGGGAAAGTTTAAGTGCGAGCTACAACTTTAACTTACAATGGTAGCAAATTCCAATACCCAGACGTCCCCCTTCTCCCAGTCTATCTTTACGACCCGGCAGTGTTCAGCCATGAGTCCTTTATGATTCAACACCGGTACCGATCGGTAGCTCTTGGCACTCGACATTTTCCTCTCGAAACGGATACCGAACACCGCACCCATCGCGATCGTGGCAGCCGCACTCAGCAGTAACCACGTATCCACCCTCGTTTCCCATCCCAGTTACGCGGTTCTGGCTTATCAGGGCAAAGCTTCAACCTTGAGCCGAGAGCCAGTGAATGGAAGGTATTGGCGGGAAATGCTCTGGCGGCGCGGCTACCGTCAATCAATGGGTGACCTCACCCCCGCCCCCTCCCCGCGCGCCCTGCAGGTGCGAGGTGAGTCAAGAGCTCGTGATTCACGGCTCATCATTCACCGGCGTTGGTCGGTGAGTGACGAGGTGTTGAGTCATCGCCCCGGTAGTAATTAGGCGGGCTCCACTTCGGGTCGCCGAATTCCGGGCCGCGGCGCGGTGGAAAGTCGCTGCTGGCGCAATCCGGGCGATCAGGCCGCCCCGATGTGATCGATGTTCTCACGGAGTCGCAGCACTTCCGTCTCTGTGGAGTATCGGGTACTCGAAGATGAAACTCACGATTCGGTTTTGGAATCGAACATGATCGCCGAAATTCCCAGGAGAATCAAAAATACGAGCTTTGCGCAACAGCTAAGCTCAAAGTAAGAACGATGGACAAAGGATAACCAACGGCAACTCACGAAAGACAACACCGGGAAAACAGCCTCCTGGATCCATGGTACAGACTCTTAAAAAATTCGAGAAGAAAAGTATACTCTTAATTCATCTGGAGTTTTGCTTGATAATGATCTTAGCCTCTTAGTCTAAGCGAATTGCCTTTTGATTCAAGAAAAGATCCAATTGTTTCAAGAATATTCTCTCTTGTCAAATTTTTTAAAAATCTGGACTCTGGATCCAAGAGACTTATTTTCCGGTGCACAGTAAGTCCATCTTTTGTTTCCTCTCTATACTGCCGTGCTAAGGATAAACGCCGTATGAACTTTAAGGCGTTGCCAAATTTCCTTTGACAGAACTCAAATTTCCTGGTACACATGAATGTTTTTCTTCAAATTTTTCATATGATTTTGCTCGCAATTTCACCCAAAGTTCTTGAAAATATCAAGGAAAAATGTCCATAACTTGCCTCAAAAATACACAGTTTATAGAAAGTAATTTGGCAGTCTCGAATGTTCATACGGTGTTCTTCCTTAGCACGGCAGTATACTAGGAGTAATCGTTTCAACCCCTAGGATCGCTTCATCCCCCCTTTGTCTTCCGTGTCTATCCCTTTGTCCCTTGATTTCAATAATCAGCCTGCAGGTACTCAAGTCACCTGTTAACTCTGAACGACAGGTTAAAGCGTATCAAGAGGTGATAGATCCGGGCCTAAGCGTGCGTTCAACCAACTTCCTGATGGATTGAAAAACGAGCGCAGCGGTGAGGCGCTAATGCCTCGGACGAAAACCGTGGATCGGCCGCTATTACGTGTCGGTGTCGGTGTCCGGCACCTGTGGCCGGACGGAAAGAGATCAAGCGGTTTGAACCCGACGACCGACCGGCCGCCGCGTCAATCAACGGGATCGATAAATCCGTGCGTGAAACGGCCATTATTTGTCATTTCCGCGAGTCGGCCACGCGCCGCACCTCGCGCTATGCGCCACCACCACACCGCGCGCCGTGCTAAGTAAAAACGCAGTGTAAGCCATCAATCGCTGCCGAATTCCCTGTCACAAATCACAACTTTTCAGGAATACTTGTGAATATTTCTCTTCAGATTTTTCAGATGATTTCATTCGTGATTTGATTTAAAAAGTCCGAAAATACCAAAGAAAAATATTCGCAGTTTTCCTCAAAAATAATTATATTCTAAAAGTAAATTTGGCAACATTCGAATGTTCATACGGCGCTCTTACCTAGTACGGCAGCGCAGGTTACACTTTCAATCGAGGCCTAGTCCCGCTTTGTCGGTTGATAGCTCCCGTGACGCCGACTGTACGCAAAAAGCGGTCTCTGTACAAAATAAATAATACTGGTAATTAATTATAGGCAGTGCTTTTTGCGTTGCTTGACTAAGCTGTTGGAAATTCAAAACCTCATAAGTGCATCAGGTGTTGTTAAGACTGTTAAAATGTGTCTCACATTCAATGCGTATCTGGCTTAAACAAATCCAGTCTCCACTTTTTACGCGAAATCTCACTTTCATTCGACTTTTAAGGAGACTTTAACGAAAGGGAAGAAAAGTGGTCGCATAACACAATCAATAACTTGTATGGTAGGATAGGTCTTCGCGTGATTCTGTGCCAGGCTGACTACTGACTGTCAACTTAACAACTGAAAATTAGTTTTTCAGACCTGCTGACTGATTATTGAAATTGATAGACAAAGCAATAGACAAAGAAGACTTAGGGGGTATGGATTGATCCTATTGGTTGACAGGAGTGGTTCTTAAAGATTAAGGGGATATAGTTATGATTGACTAACCATTAGGTCTCTCGTGAGGTGCCGTTAGTTAGTCTGTTATCTAGCTGATATGTTCATTGCAACCACCCACCTACACCAATATGATCCTTCCAAAACCTTTTTGTCTTCTTTGTCTATTGCTTTGTCCATCAATTTTAATAATCAGCCCGCTGCTGGCTGATTATTGAAATTGACAGACAAAGCAATAGACAAAGGAGAAGACGGGAAAATAGAGTGATCCTATTCATCGAAACAGGTGCTGCTTAAACTAAGGAGGAAGGTGATGGATTAACTGTATAGAGTATCCCGCGGGTTTTTTGAAAAATTTTAATAGTTTTAGTAGGCATGACTACTGTAATAATCACGGAAATACCTAATTAGAAACATCGCGTCATAAAATTTCCTGAGTTAAAATGTAGTTGCACTCCTTTCTTTGGGAATCAAATCCTTTTGTTCCTATCTTTGCCCTCTTTCTACCCTAGAATCGATTCATCTCTATTGACCTAGTGACACGACTTGACAACCGGGAGCCCCACAACAATAATTCCAGAGCGTCTCGTCGCCGCGATAAGGAGGCCTAATGGACGTATTTCTATCAAACGAAACTATGTGCATTAAGACATGAGCCCTGAGACCCATATGAATACACGCATAACAGGGATCACGTCATAATGCACATAGTTCCGTTTGATAGAAATACGTCCTAATGACAGGGCAGCCGGGACATTAGCCGATCCGGTTGCGCATGCGTAGACTCGAGGCAGAGACGTGCCCGAGCAGCCCCGGAGGACAGGACCCGACCATCGATAGAGAAAGTTATCGTGTCGCATCTAAAACCATCGTTCCAACTGTATCCACAACCATGGTGATGCAACCATGGTGCCGATCACCCCTTCCACTCGCCGATCGGACCATTAGCATCCCGCCCGTCCCGGCTTATCGTATCCTTTCTGATGTAAGAGCGTGCCTCAATGTCTCCATGAGCCTCGAAAAGCATGGAGTTAAATGTAGGATAGGGCTCAAGTGGAAATCGAGATATGTCCTTACGTTAGTGGAGTGACGTTATCTGATCGGCGAGGAGGGAACGTTAAGTTACGATCGGTGTAAAATCCATCTATGTCGATCGGTTCTGGAGATGTTTGTTCTGGGTGGAGTGAAAGGATTGATTGAGGCGAGATAACAGTTGATGCGGAGTTCCTTATAAATTAGTGATTGTTATTTTTATTTATTATTATTTTCTTTATCGAAATGCACTTACACACTGGAAAACATACTCTTGGATTCAGAGACCGGACTCCTAAAAAGTTTGACAATAAGGAAAACTACACTTGATTCAATTGAATCTTCGTTTGAATCTCAAGGAAATCCGCTTGGATTAAGAGACTTGGCTTTCGATTCGAGAAAATATCCGATTGAACTATGAATACTTTTCCTCGTCTAAGTCTTTAAGAGTTTGGACTTTGAATCAAATATATTTTTTCCAAGGGCCACGTGCTGGAAATTGTCAACAATTTTCGAAACATTCTCAGCAATTGGCAAGTGACCGAAATCTTAAAGTTTCAAGAATGGGATGGATTAAAAAAAATACGGAAATTCTGGGAGACCATTGGGTAAAAGCTAAAGTTCAAGGAGAAAAAACTTGTAAAGTTCAGGAAAATCCTAATAGCTAAAAACATGCAACCCATCTCGGAGAATGAGAGCACTAAATGTACCGAGTTTAGTGCCAAGTTACAGT